AGATAAAGCCTAAAATCCTCTCCGTGTTTGGTTACCCGGGCTACTAAATATCTAACGTTGGCCTGATGGAATCTGGAAGACTTGTGGTCCTCGGAGCTGGTCTGGCGCCTTATAACATTATACTGGCTCTGAAGAATGTGAATTATTTTCCCACTCTTAAATCAGATTTCTAATTAGAGGAAGTCTGGCTCACTCATTCCAGAGACGGGTCCGGCATTTATTGGGACTCTTGCCTTGAAAAAAAAGCAGGTGGGGTGGGGGGGTTGGCTGATCCCGTCCTTCTCATCCTCCCGAGGCTTGGCGGTGCGGGGGGGGGGACACTGCTGCTGAAACTGAGCCCCTGCATGGTTGAAAATCTTGCTGGGAAAGCGCAAGGCAATATTCTTTCACGTGTGCAAACATCTCGTGCCTTAAAAAAGGAAATGGCGTACAGGTACGGCCAGAGTTGTTGGCTGGGGATTATGGATACTGGCATCCAAAATATCTGGAAGGCCTCCTACTCTTAATTCCTCTCCACTAAAGACAGGGGAGTTCATGTTGCCTGTCTGCCTGGGAAACTGGATTTCCCCTTTGACTAGGGACAAGCCAGAGAGAAATTGAATAGGTACCGTGAAATGAAGGCTTACAGTGACCGCCTATAAACTGGAAGGAAAATCAAGGATTTGGATGGGTTCCTTTGGGAGTCGCTTCTCCAGCACCAGGATTCAAAATCGCTGCTTTTCAGGACAATCTCCCTTCACCCCTCCAGATGGGCAGTGAAATCCAGAGATTTACCGCAGCTGCTTTCAAGATATGCTTGCTATTTGTTCCTCATTCCTGGCCCTCTTTTCTTCTTTCTTCCCCAAAGTCCACTTTATCCACTGGAAACCCCTCAAGGCGCCCGTTTCCCAAAAGGGCAGTTTCGCATTTTGGGTTTTAATCCTCCGGTCTGCTGTGAGGTGGGCAGCTATATAAATGGTTTCAACCAATAACTAAAATGTCCGGATGGGGCCAACCAAACTTCATTCGGGGACAAAGTTCTTTGGCTTCAGAAACGTACCGCTATTTTTGCACAGACTTTTCACTCCGTACCGACCTTCCAAATCCACTTATTCTGCTAAAAAGCCAACGATGTCAAAGCCCTCCTTGCATCTTGTGGCACTCAGTTCCACCAATGCTTTTATAAGGCTGGGCACTTTATTTATTTATATACAGCCAGAAGGCCCGAAAACAAGTTACAGATATAATCGAGACTTGACGTCAGGTAAAACAATGGAACAGATAACATCTTTAATAAATATTACATGTTACACTTAAACGCCCAGCTTGTTGATTGGTTACTAAAGACCTTGTTTTGATAGCCATAGTTAAAAATCTGGCTGTTGCCACTGCACTCTCAGGATGTTCACCTGCCAGTAAAATGTTTACATCCTCAGAAGCTGCGATCTGGATCACATTTGCTAGTAATAATAACAGCACAATTGCAGGCAAAAAAATTGAAGATCTCTCTTAAGTGTCCCAAGCTGTGTTCCAAATTCTGTATTCTCTTGGAAACTGGGCAACCCTTTGAAGTCTGGGCTCTTTCTACTAGACCAGTGTTTCTCAACCTTGGCAACTTTAAGATGAGTGGACTTCAATTCCCAGGATTCCCCAGCCAGCCATGCTGGCTGGGGAATCCTGGGAGTTGAAGTCCACTCATCTTAAAGTTGCCAAGGTTGAGGAACACTGTGCTAGACCAAGACAGACACTGGACTTGGGAAACCATTTGTTGCCCAGTTCTGAGCGGCGGGTGCAACAGAGACAGGGAGGACTGAGTGACGTATGGCATCTTTTAAACCATGAGCCTGGGCTGACCCAAGTCACCCCCTGTGCAAGAACTGGGAGGAGCAGGCACCGAATCTTATCTTGCTAGTGACTGGACGGTGCTGTGTGAGTTTAGGAAGGGCAGGGCAGGTTGCCTGGCACACAGAATAATTCACCTCGCCTTGGCATCTGTGGGTCAGATGGCTATCTTCCTCCACTCAGGGCAGGGCAGGCCTTGCAAACACTGTGGTTGCATCCAGACGTTGCGCCCAAGTCTGGGTTAGTAAATGTCAACGGCTTCATTCCGCGAATAAGCAAAGCTGAGATACACCAGGGCAGCCAGAATCCAGACAGATGGCAGCACAGGGTAGTTTTCTGAACCTCTCTGCTGCCCCCCAGTGGGCAATCCAGCATGCAACATTCAAAAGGTTCTGAACTCTAATGATGTCCTCTCCTCTTTGCGTAGGCCAGGGTTTCTCAACCTTGGCAGCTTTCAGAGGGGTGGACTTCAACTCCCAGAATTCCCCAGCCAG